ACCTTTCCTCTCAATCTCTCAGTCCCCCAGGAGCCTGGTCCAAATGCTGTCCTTTTCTCAGGTGACCTGGTTACTAAAAGCCACTCCCCTCCTTGGCCTACCAAGCATGTCAAACTCACGGTCCGCAGCCCGCAAGCAGCCGACAATGAATGTTTTTGCAGCCCAGGCAATATAACAGCATGTAAGGGACGGTTTAATAAAAATTTCATAACTTACTTTTTACAATATCCTGTTATACATAATCCTATATAATAAATGGGTAATATGCAAATTGACCCTAACTGCAGAACCACTGGTCACTATGACACACACTGACCACCAGGGGGCAGATGCTCAATGCAGGAGCTGCCCCCTGGTGGTCAGTGTGCTCCCATAGGGGGATCTCTGCTCAGCCACAAGCCAGGTTGAGGGCTGCCAGTACAGCGGTGGTGGCGGGAGCCTCTCCCGCCTCCTCAGCAGCGCTAAGGATGTCCAACTGCAGCTTAGGCCTGCTCCCCGCTGGCAAGTGGACATCCCCCAAGGGATCTGGGCTGCCAGAGGGATGTCTGACTGCCAGCTTAGGCCTGAACCCCCAGGGAGCAGGCCTAAGCCAGCAGATGGACATCCCCCAGGGGTCCCAGACTGCGAGAGGGCACAGACCGGGCTGAGGGATCCCCCGAGTGCACAAATTTTTTTGCACCCGGCCTCTAGTTTAAAAATAACGATTCTCTCTCTTCATGGATATTTCTATCTCTCTCTCCCTCTCCCTTCCTCTCTGAAACCAATAAAAATATATTTTTTAAAACCATACTAAGTGAGCCCTGGCTGGTTTTCTCAGTGGTTAGAGCATCGACCTGTGAACCAGGAGGTTACGGTTGGATTCCTGGTCAGGGCACATGCATAGGTTACGGGCTTGGTCCCCAGTGGGGGGACATGCAGGAGACGGCCAATCCATGATTCTCTCTCATCATTGAAGTTTCTATCTCTCTCTCCCTCCTTCTTCCTCTCTAAAATCAATAAAAATATTTTTAAAAATTATACTAAGTGAGAGATGGCAGTCACAGAGGAACACAGCATATGACTGTATTTTCAGGAAAGGTGCAAAATAGGAAAATCTATAGAGACAAAAAATAAATTAGAGATTCCCTAGGCCTGGTTGCTGGGGAATTGAGGACATTCGGGTGCGATGGTTTATGAAGGTAATTTTTCTTTATAAGGTGATGAAAACATTTTAAAATTGATACTGGCGATGGTTGCATAATACCGCCGGTACACTTAAAACCATTGCACACTTTATTATATTTTTAAAATATTTTATTGATTTTTTTTACAGAGAGGAAGGGAGAGGGATAGAGAGTTAGAAACATTGATGAGAGAGAAACATCAATTCAGCTGCCTCCTGCACACTCCCCACTGGGGATGTGCCCACAACCAAGGTACATGCCCTTGACCGGAATCAAACCTGGGACCCTTCAGTCCGCAGGACGATGCTCTATCCACTGAGCCAAACCGGTTAGGGCACCATTGCACACTTTAAATGGGTGAGTCATGCCCTAGCCGGTTTGGATCAGTGGATAGAGCATCGGCCTGTGGACTGAAGGGTCCCAGGTTCGATCCCTGGTCAGGGCACTTACAAGAATCAACTAATGAATGCATAAATAAATGGAACCACAAAATTCAATGTTTCTCCCTCTCTCTCTCCCCCTTCCTCTGTTTCTAAAATCAATAAATAAAAATTAAAAAATAAATAAAACTGTTTTAAAGACAGCAGAAAACAAAACACAAACGAGCAAACAGGAAGGACCCCCTGGGTAGGTCAGACTCCGTCCGCGCAGGGCCTGAGGGGGCCTGGAGAGACTGTGTGTCCCCTGGGGCTGTGCTCACCTGCACTCTCCGTGTGGCAGGTCACGGAGGCAGCTGGGGCCCTCAGTCCGTCCCAGATGGTCTTGACCGTGGCTGTGTAGGACTGAGCGGGCTGGAGGTTGGACACGGACATGCCCCTGTCCTTCCCGCAGGAGGCTTGGTCCCCGGAGACCTGCTGCCCGCCCACGTGCAGCTGAAAGGCCTCATAGCCGCCCCGGGGGCAGGTCCAGGTCAGGGTGACCCCATAGCCACCAGAGATGCTGGTGCAGGAGATGATGGTGACAGGGTCTGGGTCTGGGAGGCGGAGACAAGAGGACTCGGTAGGTGCCAGCCAAGGTGGTGTTCCCTCCCTCACCTGCTTCACCGCCAGTGATGCCAATTCTGTGACCGCGACAAGGAGCCCATCCTTCCCTTCCCCAAACCCAAATACTTCTTCATCCCTTGCTTTCTAAATTCCCAAACGGACTCCCAACGGGTACCCAAAAACTACAACTCCCATGAGCGCTCTGACTCTCTGGATCACTGCAGCTTATACAGTCAGGGCCCCATGGCCTGATGGGATTTGTAGTCCACTCTCTTCTCATCCACAAACTTCCTCTCCCCACCCCCGCCAAGGGGTAAAAGGGGGCCCATCTCACATGTGGATGCGCGGAGGCTCTGTGTGGCACCGGCTACATCGCTCCTCTCCGCCCACACGCTGAAGTTATATGGAGTCCCAGGTTCCAGGCCCTTCACCACATACCAAGTCTCTTTGGTCCTGGCTATCTGGTCGACCTGGTGTGCTTGGGGGTGTCCTTCCCCCTGGGGAGGTCCCCCACCGGCCCACCGGACACAGTATATGTAGAGCTGAGAGCGGGGGTCTGCCGGGGCCTCCCACCGCAGGGCGATTGAGTTGTTGGTCTGCGTTTCCTTCTGCAGAGCTGTGACCTCGTTAGGAGCTGAGAATTGAGACAGACAACTCAAGGGGCGGACCCCCAAGGCCCCTCACACCGAGTCTGCTCACCTCCCCTTCCCTGCAGGTGCCCCCACCATCGGATCGCATACTTCCCAAGAGGTGGGGACCATGGTCGCTGGGTCCTCTCTGTCCTAAGTCCACATACCCGGGTCCCACTCACCACCCTTCCACACACAACAAGTTCCTAGACGTTTCTGCTGACGTCAGTCTTCTTAGCCCAAATGGCCAAAGACTGAAGAGTTCCGGGTCCCGTGCATCAGCAGTGCACCTAGTCCCTGGGGTCATTCTGCTGCCTCTCACTCTTGGGACCCACACCTGCCAGCTGGGAGGCGGGGCCCCGTTGGACCCAAGAGTTCACCAGGACAAGCTGTGGGCGACCACCTAGCTCAGCGGTTCTCAACCTTCTGACCCTTTAAATACAGTTCCTCACGTTGTGACCCAACCATAAAATTATTTTCGTGGCTACTTCATCACTGTCATGTTGCTACTGTGATGAATCGTCATGTAAATATCTGATATGCAGGATGGTCTTAGGCGGCCCCTGTGAAAGGGCCGTTCGACCGCCAAAGGGGTCGCGACCCACAGGTTGAGAACCGCTGGTCTATCTGGTGACTTTACAGATTCCTGGACAGCCAGGGGCTCTCTTTGTTCCCAAAGACAGACCCTCCAATCAGAAAACCCGGGTCGCTGAGGACAGACACCCACTCAGACAGTGGTCGGCAAACTCATTAGTCAACAGAGCCAAATATCAACAGTACAACGATTGAAATTTCTTTTGAGAGCCAAATTCTTTAAACTTAAACTATACAGGTAAGTACATTGTTATTAACTTAATTAGGGTTCTCCTAAGGCTTAGGAAGAGCCACACTCAAGGGGCCAAGGAGCCGCATGTGGCTCGTGAGCCGCAGTTTGCCAGTCACGGCCTTAGGAGGCAGACCTACAAGCTCAAGGTCTGATGAGACCGGTGAGGGGTCGCGGAGCACAGTTCGTCTCCCAGGAACCTTGCTCCATGCCCCCATCACTCTCCCCCCAGCCCAGTATGCTGGGCCCCGACCTAGCCTGGGTCTCACCTGTGGCCCCCATGAGGGTCTCTTTGCTACTGTTGACTCCGTTCCTCTCCGCCCACACGGTGAAGGTGTACAGGGTCCCAGCTTCCATTGCGTCCACTGTGATCCTGGTATCCGGGGTGTTCTGGGGCCTAGTGGCAACCCCGCCCTCCATGGTCCAGGAGACCCAGTAGGTGTAGGGAGGGTGATCCGGGCCCTGGGGAGCTGTCCAGCGCAGGCTGATGGAGCTGGTGGTCTGACTCTCCACGGTCAGGTCCCTGACGGGGTTGGGGGCTGAGGAGGGGACAGGAGAGGGAATCAGCCGTGGACTCTGGGCCCACATGTCCAGGCCTTCCTTCCCTGCTGGGCCCAGGAAGCCTGGGGCGGTGGGTAGACCCTCAAGTCCAAAATGGCAGCCATGCCCGGCCCGCGTGGCTCAGTGGTTGAGCGTCCACCTATGAACCAGGAGGTCACGGTTCGATTCCCGGTCGGGGCACATGCCGGGGTTTCGGGCTCCATCCCAGGTGAGGGGTGGGCAGGAGGCAGCGGATCAATGATTCTCTCTCATCATTGACGCTGCCCTCTCTCTCCCCCTCTCCCTTCCTCTGTAAAATCAATAAATTTTAAAAAATAAAAATAGACATACCCTGGGGCGAGGATAAAGAAACAAATGAATACATAACGGATACACACACGGAGCGTGAAGAATTGGGACGAAGGTGAGCCTGTACAATCTCTCCTCGGTCCTCCCGTACTACACGGGCAACAGGTCACAAGGATGACATGTTGACTCCACTTGAGCTAAAGGAACTCGCTCTCTACAGCGCTGGTCCCCTTTCCTCTGACTGGGGCCAATGTGGCTGATAGAATCCTGGCACGTACAGGCCGGGCCCCCATCCTCTTTCTGTGGGTGTAGGAACCTGCCGGGCTCGCCTGTGGGTGCTCCAGCCCCACCAGACACCCCCCCTCCAAACCCAAACAACTGCCCTGGCCGGTGTGGCTCAATGGATAGAGCGTCAGCCTGTGGACCGAAGGGCCCCGGGTTCGATTCCAGTCAAGGGCATGTCCCTTGGTGGCAGGCTCCTCCCCAGGCAGGCCCTGGACGGGGTGCGGGCAGGAGGCAACCCATCCATGTGTTTCTCTCATATCAAAGTTTCTCTCTGTCTCTTCCCTCTCTGTCTCTTCACTCTCTCTAAAAATCCATGGGAAAATATCCTCGGGTGAGGATTAAAAAGTAAATAAATATTTAAAAAGAATTTTTTTTAAAAACACACACACACATAAAAAAAAAAAAAAAAAAAAGAACAACCAACCACAGCAGATTAAGCAGCGGCTGCTCTCACCTGTGCTGGCACTGAGGGTCGCCTCGGAGCTGCTGGCTCCACCTCCCTCCACCCACACGGACAACTCATAGCGGGACGCGGGTTCGAGTCCCTCCGCCGTGTAAGTGACGTCTGTCGTGCTTCCGATTTCATTTTTGCCACCGTCTCCGGTGCACCTGACCCAGTAGGTGTAGTTCTGCAGGGTGGGGTCTTCCGGGGGGTCCCAGCGCAGGGTGATGGAGCTGCTGGTCTGATGCCACACATTCAGGTTCCTGACAGCGGCCTTGGGTGCTGGGAATTGGGGAGCAAACTGGGTCCCTAATCCCCTCAGGAGACCAGATAGACCCCTCCCATCAGCGCCTGCCAGGGATCCTGGCGCCCTCCATGGAGAGCCCCCCTACCCCCCGAAGCTCACACAGGAGACTTGAGGTGCTACCTCTCTGGGCGGGTGGTGGACTCATCAAGGATCACTCACCGGCTGCCTTGGCTCCCATCCAGACGCACAGGCCCTGGGGGGAGCCCAGGGGAGAGTCAGAGCCCGGCCTCCCCTCCAGGCCCAGGTGAGACTGGGGGGCTGGGGGGCAGCCGCACCCTCCCAGCCTCAGCCCCCACAGAGGCACAGCCCGGGGAGGGACACTGCAGGTGACTGCTCCCCCAGGCTCAGACTTGACAAAGGTCACCCCAGGGCCAGCTGCCTTTTCTGGGTGTGTGGGGAGGGGAGGGGCACAGGTGGGGCTCCAGGGACCCAGGTACATGCCCTTGACCAGAATCGAACCTGGGACCCTTGAGTCCGCAGGCCCATGCTATATCTGCTGAGCCAAACCAGCTAGGGCTCCAGGGACCCAGGAGCTGGGCTGGACACCTGCCCTCCAGCTGCACGGATAGGGCAAGGCCCAGAGATAAAGTGAATGGTTTCAATTCCTGAAGACTATGGATGACTAGGAAGAGAAAAGTAAACAACGTATTGCTGGTAAATATCTACAGTAATAAAAGAAAAACATGCAAATTGGTGTCACTCCACTACGCCCACCAGCCAATCAGAGCAACTATGCAAATTAACCCAACAAAGATGTTGGTTAATTTGCATACGCAGGCACAGAGCGAAGACTCAAGATGACTGAAGATGGTAGAGGCCAAGGAGCTGGAGCGAGCAGGAGGCTTGGGTTGCTCCCGGTGACGGAGGAAGCCAAGCTTCCCGTTGGCCCTGGACTCCGCTCAAGGAAGGGCTGGAGGCCTTGGTCATCAGGGGCAACCCAGGCTTCCAGCCCGCCCAGGCCTCCAGTCCAGGAGCTGGAAAAAAAATAAAAAGGAGGGGCTGGGAGCAGCCAGAGCTGAAAAGCCAAGCCTCGCTGCTGTGGATGGACCAAAAGCCTGGGTCCTGGGTGCCGGAGGAAAACCGGTTCCAGCAACTAGGGGAAGGAAGGCCTATTGCGTGAATCTTCGTGCAACTGGCCACTAGTAAATAATAATAATAATAATAATAATAATAATAATAATAATAAAAGGAAAAGAAAAAAAGAAAAGTCATTAACAAACTGGGATTCGGGGAGCGGGAGAGATAGGCTGAGAACCAGAGGTCAGACATCCGGTCTGTTGGTGACCGAGGCTAGGGCCTGGGCTCCTGGGTCTGAGGGAGGAGGAGGCTGGGGGCCTGGGCTCCTGGGTCTGAGGGAGGAGGAGGCTGGGGGCCTGGACTCCAGGTTCTGAGGGAGGAGGGATTGGGGGCCTGGACTCCTGGGTCTGAGGGAGGAGGGGCTGGGGGCCAGGACTCCTGGGTCTGAAGGAGGAGGGGCTGGGGGCCTGGACTCCTGGGTCTGAGGGAGGAGGGGCTGGGGGCCTGGACTCCTGGGTCTGAGGGAGGAGGGGCTGGGGGCCTGGACTCCTGGGTCTGAGGGAGGAGGGCTGGGGGCCTGGACTCCTGGGTCTGAGGGAGGAGGAGGCTGGGGGCCTGGGCTCCTGGGTCAGAGGGAGGAGGGGCTGGGGGCCTGGACTCCAGGGTCTTCCTCACCCAGAGTTTACTCTCACCCGGGACAGGACACACCTGTGAGCCCAGGTGTAAGACTCCCCAACAATCTCCCGGAACCTGGACGCCAGCTTTCTTCTTCAGGGGAACCTTCACCCTTTCCCTCAGGACCCGAGTTCAGGGACCCTGCTTCCCGGCCCAATCCCCGCCCTGGCGCCCCCACCCGGTCCCTCCCTCCGGTCCCTCCCGGAGGCCCCACTCACCAGCAGCACCAGGCGCCCCCAGGCCCCGAGGCCCCCTCCAGCCCCCGTCATGCCCGCCGGGATCCTTGCGCCCTCGGAGGGACCCAGGTGACCAGTCGGGCCTTCCACCTGCCGGACTTTAAACG